GTTTGATTCCCAGTCAGGGCACATGCCTGGGTTGTGGGCCAGGTCTCAGTCAGGGTGTGCGAGAGGCAACTGATCGATGTTTCTCTCCAACATCAGTGTTTCTCTACCTGTTTCTCCCTCTCCCCTCTCTCTAAAAAATAAATAAAATCTTTAAAAAAATAATGAAGTTGTTGTTTTTCACTTGTTTTAGCTTTTGTTTTTATTTGGAAAGGAAATGTATGTTCTTTGTTTTTAAGATTTTATTTATCTTTAGAGGGAAAGGGAAGGAGAGAGGGAGAGAAATATCAATGTATGGTTGCCTCTCATGCATCCCCTGCTGGGAACTGGCCTGCAACCCAGGCATGTGCCCTGACTGGGAATCGAACTGTGATCCTCTGGTTCGCAGGCCCACACTCAATCCACTGAGCTACACCAGCCAGGGCAGGAAGTGTATATTCTTGTTTGGATTTCTTATCCGGGGAAAGGGAGGATAATTCTCTGATTAGAAGAGATGCTGGGAGGACTGGGTAGAGTGGGGCAAAGGGGGAAAACTGGGAAAACTAATAGCATAAAATACTTTTAAATTATTTTATTCAATTACAGTTCTCTGCAGCATATTTTTTAAAATATATTTTATTGATTATGCTATTACAATTGTCCCATTTTCCCTTTTATTCCCGTCTGCCCTGCACACCCCCTCCCACACACATCCCCCCACTTTAGTTCATGACCATGGGTTATACATATAAGTTCTTTGGCTTCTACATTTCCTATAGTGTTCTTAACCTTCCCCTGTCTATTTTCTACCTACCCTTTAAGCTGCTTATTTTCTGTACCTTTCCCCTGCTCTCCCCCTCCCACTCCCCTGTTGATAACCCTCCATGTGTTCCTTTTCTAGTTGTTCGCTTAGTTTGCTTTTGTTTTTGTTTTAGGTGTGGTTATTAATAACTGTGAGTTTGCTGTCATTTTACTGTTCATATTTTTATCTTCTTTTTCTTAGATAAATCTTTTTAACATTTCATATAATAAGGGCTTGGTGATGATGAACTCCTTGAACTTGACCTTATCTGGGAAGCACTCTATCTGCCCTTTCATTGTAAATGAAAGCTTTGCTGGATAGAGCAATCTTGGATGTAGGTCCTTGCCTTGCATGACTTGGAATACTTCTTTCCAGCTCCTTCTTGCCTGTAAGGTCTCTTTTGAGATATCAGCTGACAGTCTGATGGGAACTCCTTTGTAGGTAACTCTCTCCTTTTCTCTTGCTGCTTCTACAATTCTCTCCTTCATTTTAATCTTGGGTAATGTAATTATGATGTGCCTTGGTGTTCCTCTTTGGGTCCAACTTCTTTGGGATTCTGAGCTTCCTGGACTTCCTGGGAGTCTTATCTCCTTAGCCAGATTGGGAAAATGTTCCTTCATTAATTGTTCAAATAAGTTTTCCATTTCTTGCTCTTCCTCTTCTCCTTCTGGTACGTCTATAATTTGGATGTTGGAACATTTAGAGATGTCCTGGAGGTTCCTAAGCCTCTCCTCATTTTTTTGAATTCTTGGTTTCTTCATTCTTTTCTATTTGGTTGTTTCTTTCTTCCTTCTGGTCCACTCCATTGATTTGAGTCCCAGTTTCCTTCCCATCACTATTGGCTCCTTGTACATTTTCCTTCATTTCACTTAGCATAGCCTTCATTTTTTCATCTAATTTGTGACCAAATTCAATCAATCCTGTGAGCATCCTGATTACTAGTGTTTTCTGTTAACTCTGCATCTGATAGGTTAGCTACCTGTCGATGCTTAGTTGTATTTTTTCTGGAGCTTTGATCTGTTCTTTCATTTGGGCTATTTTTTTTTCTCAGCGCACCTGTTACGTAGTGAGGGGCACAGCCTTAGGTGTTCTCCAGGGTGGGGTAACCCACTTCACTGTGTTGTGACACTGTATGTCGGGGAGGGGTCCGAGAGGTAACAATGGTGCTTGCTCCACTCTCTGACGGTTTTCAGTCACTTCCCCCACTACCCACAAGCACAGTGGGCCCTTCTGGTGCTGATTGCCATGTGGGCGGGCTTGTGTATGTTCTAGGACCCTGTGGGTCTCTCCCACAAACTCTCCCATGAGGCTGGGCGCCTCTCCCGCTGCCACCGCAATCCCCACAGGTGTTTCCAATCAGTGGTTTGAGGCTTTATTTCCCCACACTGGGGCCCTGGGTTGCGAGGTCTGTTTCACTCCCCAGTTGTTCCTCCTGGTTTATCCGCACACAAAAGTGGGACCACCCGCTCCAGCAGCCGCCGCCTCACCTTTCCGCCAGCTGCCACCTTGCTGGCCAGCTGCAGCCTTGCCCACCCTGCTCCACAATCTGCCACCTTGCCGGGCCTGCCTTCCACCGCCTTTCCGTGAGTCCTCTCCACCCGGCTGCCCGTCTCTGTCCTCCTACGGGTCTGGATGAATGTGTCTTCTCTAACTCCTTGGTGGTGGATTTTCATCCAGTTTGATTTTTCTGTCTGTTCTGGTTGTTTTTTGTTTTTAAATTGTTGTTGTCCTTCTTTTGGTTGTATGAGGAGGCACAGTGTGTCTACCTATGCCTCCACCTTGGTTGGAAGTCCCTGTTTACAGCATAAAATTATATATATATATATATATATATATATATATATATATATATATATATTTTTTTTAAGATTTTATTTACTTATTTATTTATAGAGGGGAAGGAGAGAGGGAGAGAAACATCAATGTATGGTTGCCTTTCATGCATCCCCTGCTGGAAACTGGCCTGCAGGGAAGCAGTCTGCAACCCAGGCATGTGCCCTGACTGGGAATTGAACCGCGATCCTTTGATTCGCAGGCCCATGCTCTATCCACTGAGCTACACCAGCCAGGGCAGCATAAAATATTTTTGAAAAAGATAGTTTTTTATTATCAATCCAATAAAAAATTGAAAATATTTTTAAATTAAAAAAAAGATGCTTTGAGTATACAGCAGGATGATGCAAAACCATTTAACAGTAGCGCTCCTTCGTTGAGAAGTGAGACCATCCCTTCTAAATGAACATGTTTGGAAACCGGGTTCTACTCAGGGTTACTACCAAGATAGGTTAGACTCAGGCTAGGCACAGCGGGAAGGTGAGCATGAGTACTGGCAGTGGGCCTTTATTTTCACTCCTGGATTTCCTGGCTAGCCAGGGAGGGCCCCAGGTTGAGTGCCAGGTTTCTGTGCACCCCTGAGGGTCCTCGTGCAAGTCTGGGCTCCTCTCCTCCGTTCTGTTTACAAAATGGAATGACAGCTCAAGGGTCCAACAGCAAGCACCCACTGCCCTTTAAGCTACTTATTTTCCCATGATGTAAATGATAACAAAATCACCGCAGGAGGTCTGTGCCACACAGCAACTGTGTGAGCCGTCTCTGCAATGAGGCCTGCCTTCTCTGCCGTCAAACTGCCCACGGGAGAAACACCACGTCCAAACGTAATTTGGCTCGGCTATTGTAAACTCACACGTCAGATTTAATACCTTTGTGTCTTGACTCCATCATGTACATACAAGGGACTGTGGGAAATGGGCCTGGCATTTTCAAACCTCCGTTTCCTCACATTTAGAACAAGAAGGGGTACAAGGTGAGGGCAGAAACTGCAGCGTCTTTTACGGAACCTAGGACATCTCATGACATTCCTCAGTACTCCGAGTCCCACAGACCAGCTCTGAGTGGCTGTGAGCGGAGACTGCAGAGGGCGTGAACTGTACAGGGTGAGGGTCGGGGGGCGGGGGGGGGACGACCTGGGTGCTGGCTGCCACAGCATCACGGAGACTTGCTACTTCAAATCTTTTTCTTTCCTTCAGAAGATAATTAGACCCACTCACCACTGCCCCATGTGAGATGTATCTGTCTGCTAATGCCAGAGGTACATATCTGATTTTTCAAAACGTAACTTGGCTGACACTAAGGATACCTGGGGATATTAAATGGCTCCAACAAAAGCTCCGTCCCTTCCTTAAAACATCAATTGGGGATTTAAGGCAATGGAAATGCATTTAGTACTTAACAACAAATGAATAATCTCTTTCACAAGGTCATTATCATAAATGTAAAAGTATTCCTCAATCATACGTCCTTTTGAAAAAATGGTTTCAGGAAACTTATTCTAAAGCAGAAGTTCCTGTCACTATGGAGTGTTCTAGAAACTAAGTATGAAACACTGAGCAAAGATGAGACATGGTGGAGAATACGACACAGGACAGGCAGTGGAGACCATTAGAGCCACAGGGCTTTTGTAAGGTGATTGCAGACTGACACCCTGCACTCTGCTTTCAGTGGAGCGGTGGGCACTGAGCCAACACCCGAGTGGGCGGGGCACCAGGAATGAAGGTCCCAGGAGCCCCTGCCCCACCCCACTTCTTAGGGCTCTAGTGGGTGGAGCCCTAACTCTAGTCTTAGTTTAGGTGGAGGTTGGGCTGATTTCTCTCGGCCCCCAAATTATTTGTCTTTTAGGCATGACTATAAAGACATACATGATAAAAGTACAAGAACTACCCCCAACTCTACCATCCACAAATATGAAACTTATTGGGGTGGGACTGGGGGACAGTGTAGACACAGTGGGGTGAGCTGGGGGAAAGGACCGCCCTGCAAGCACAGAACGAGCCCTACTTCTGCAACAATGATTCTTAACTTGGGGCAACTGTGCCACCAGGGAACCATGTCAATGTCTGGAGGGAGGCCTTAGGGCTGCCATGACATCCAGTGGGAGAAGGCCAGGGTGCCGCTCTGCCTCCCACAACACAGGCAGCCCCGACGCCACAGGGACTACCCAGCCCAGAACGTCAGTGCCAAGGGCGAGAAATCCTGGGGTGACAGCGACACCCTGATGACAAAGTCTGCACGAGGCATTCTGAACTGCCAGAAACCACTGGGAATGATGGTTTTTGTACGGCTTCTCTGTGGGAAGTTGAGAAGTTAACACCATTCTTACAATGAAGTTCTCTGTGCAAGTAGTAGTTGGATCCCTGCCAAGAATCACACTTTCTTCACACTGGAATATGAATATATTTCTTTACTGGGACTCTCATAAGAATGACACATTAGCACTGTCCTTCTGACGTGATAAAGATACATACATCTGATCCACGTTATGGCAGGAGACGGGTGAGGGCTCTCGGAGCAGGTACCGTGTCCACGAAGAACTCTCTCTTCCCCAAAGACAGGACGTTTCCTTGGATTCCATTATCTGTTGTAGCTTCCAGGTCTCCGAGACTTGCCCGGAATCCTTCATCCCAGGACCAGGTGACCCTATTCTCTCACGTCATTCGGGACTCCTTTAAGACCTGGGTCACCTGCCCCATGTCTCACTAGCACAGGCCACCTCTGGAATTCAGCAGCACACCTTTTTGGTATGCTGTTGTCCTGCCACCCTCAGGGGCACAGCTGGGAGTTGGGGGTGGGGGTAGACCGACTTAACATCATATTACCAAAAGCAAACAGTAGGGGCACATTAGCAGATGCCATTTGGGCACCCAACTAAAAACCTCACAGAATACATGCTTCCTCCCCAAATGACACACATGATCCCCTGGAGAGCAGAGGAAACCCCTAGACCATTTAAACACGCATGGAATGATTCTGTAGTCAGGCATGAGGGAAAATCAAGCGGGTGTTTACTTCACCATGCCCGCACACAGAAGGGAGTTAGTGCCTGAGAGCTGTAACCAGATCTCCATCCTGGCTCGTCCCTGCCTCTCAATGGTGTCACTACTCTGTTCCCACCTGTTTGGGGGCTTAGTTCATTTATCAAAAGAGAAGATGTCAGAAGGTGGGAGATTTAGGGCAGGGGTGGAATGACAACCTGTTAAGACGGATAAAGTAATACAAAAAATGTAAAAACTAGATTTACTAGAACAATATTTTATAACAATGGCAGGTAGCTGGAAGATACTACATGTTAACACAGACAATATAATACACAACCCCAGGGGGAGGAGTCAGTGGCAGAGTGTGGCAGAAGCCACCGGTTAGACCAAGAGCCTTTCAATGGACTGCTGGATGGACTGGATCTGCTGCTTCAGCTGTGAGCCTTCTTTGATGGTGACAGAACACGCGATGACAGGCCTGGAGACCCCACAGGCCCGCCCCAGCGCCTGCTTGGAGCGCACGAACACGTAGGGAACGTTCTTGTCTTCACACAGCAGCGGGAGGTGCAGGATGATCTCCAGGGGCTCTGCATCGGCGGCCATCACAATGAACTCAGAGATGCCTCTGTTGAGGGTTTTGGTGGCTGTGGACAGAAGGATGTGAGGCCAATAGGTGATGTGGGGTTTGGGCAGGGAAGTCGTAGTGACATAATGACATAATGTCAATCTCTGAAGAAAAGAAATACAGGTGAAAGCAAGCCGAGCAAAACCCCCAGGCATGAGCGGTTCTCTGTCTGTCCGGTAGTGGCCTTGGAAGGGGACAAGGGATTTGATCACCAACCGGCCCTCCGCAATGCCTTTCTGAAACCCCACCAACGCCCTCAGCTCTGTCAGAGCATACCCTGTATCACACGGGCCCCTTCACTCCTCTGTACCACCCGTCCAAGCCACTGCCATCTCTTGCCTGGCTGGCCGGACAGCCGGCTCACAGCCCCGCCGGCACGGAGCAGTGCGCTGCAGCGCCTCTAGACTCAGGTCTGCGAGGGCTTTACCGCCCCAACCTGCCGCGACCCACACAAGCTCACACCACATGCCCCTCACCAAGGACACGCAGCACCGCACAGCATCATTCAAATGCTCATTCCCGACTGCTTATCTCTGCGGCCCACGGACCGCACTCTGCATTACTGGGGGACACCTGCCAAGGGCACCTGCCAAGGGCCCAAGAGCAACGCTGCCCAAATTCAGATTCTGGCTCTCCTTTTCCTTAGAAGGTACCTGTGACAGACAAAAGGCTAATCTAAAAAAATTCTCAGTCCATTAACCTTTAGCATCTAATGCCAAAAGGCTGCTCTCGTGCCCTCTCATCACATGTCCTCTCATCGGCCTCAATCAGGAGCACCCAGCCCTCTTTCCATATTGCAGACCTGAACCAGGGCCTGCGGACAGAGACAGGTGTCTTTACATCCGCCCGGAGCACTCCGGCCGCCTTACCCTCGTTGGCTCCTTTCCGAAGCTGCTTGTAGTTACATGACTGCTGAACGAGGTCCAAGAGTTTTTTGGTGAGGTGGGCATCTGCAAGAGGGTAGGCCTTCGGATTCACATCAGCCTCGGTCTGTCAGTGGGGTGAACAAGGCATCAGTGAAATGGAACCAGAACTTGTCCCGACAAGTCACAACACAATCAACAATTGAGGCACAATGGTCAGCTTCCCGGCTCCCTCACCCACAAACACACACTTAACAAATGACACTGGCCTGCACACTCCCAATTTAGAGAAACTGAATTAGGATTAAAAAAAGGTTAGTAATTACACAATCTAATAATGCATAAATAATACAGCTACAATAACGTATACTTTTTAACTTGCCTCTCTTTAGCCTAATGCTGAGTAAAACCACAGCACATGGATTAAAAAACGGGCTCCATGGCTCGACATCCATTGGGGTAGTCTTCAAATTTGGATTTTCACAGTCCACTCCAAGTTTACTGAGTCAAAATTAAGGTATAATTTATAGAAGTGCAGCACAAAGTTTCCTCTCTCCATTCCCTATTCAATGTTTGAATTTCCCTTTGTCCTCAGTAAGAACCCTTGTTTCCAAAACATCAAAATATTTTCTCATTTACTCAACCCTACAATAACATACAAAATGACTTCAGAATTGCTGTAACAAATTGCCTCAACCAACAACAAGCTCACCAAAGTCAAGATTGCTTTCTGTTATTAGAATATATCTGCCTAAAGCCACCGGGTCAGAGTATTATATTTAAAAGTTATTTAAATTAAAAAATTTCCACCTGGTTATCAATTTGATATACAACTAAGATTCCTTTGTATTCAGTCTGTGTTTTAAAAAGCATTATTTTAAATTTTATTTTTTCAAATATATAAAACATCTGATGTTTCCAAAGTCAAAGCTATGCTAGTGAACCGACAGTGTTCTGAGAACTGGTAATGAGTAAAGCATCCATCCTGCCTTTCCTACACGGACCATATCCCCGTGTAACCAAGCAGCAGATGAGAAGTTTCCCTTGTATCATTATCTCCACCTAATAAGGAAAGACACAATTAAACATCACCATCTTATAACCTATATTAACCAATCCAGACACAAATTAATTAATGGATCCGGACAGGGATTAACAGGTACTGACAATACAAAAGATAACAGGCGCTTATTGTCCCTTCTCAAAGAACAAAACATCTATAATCAAGTAGTCGTAGGGAAAAAAATAAAGAAAAAAAAATCTGATCAAGACTTCGATTCTAATACTAGATATTTAATATTGAGGAATTATTAAATGTTGGAGTGTTACAGTGGCATTTCAGTTGTCAAGTTTATTTTATAGATATATACCTTAATACCTATGGATAAAATGTTGTGTCATTGGAATCTGCTTCCAAATAACCCATGCAGGGAACAAACTGGATGGGATCCATCCTACACTATGCCTTCCAAGTTTCAAGGTTAACCATTTTCATCAATTTCTCATTTGTTTTCCCTGTGATTCTTCTTACACATATATTTGTACTACAAATATAACCCAAATGCAGCTCCACATCACCATCGCACGCACCCTGCGGTTTGCCGGTGGCAGTGAGGTCCAACCCTGGGTTTGGGGCTGGACCTCGCAGGCAGCATGTAGCACCGCCAGGTGTAGATAGGCAGTTGACCCACGAGTGATGGCCAGGTGGGAACTCACAACTGCGTCTGCCTTGGTGGTCTCTTTAGACTGAAATAACACCAAGACACCAAAATGATCCCCCCCCCCCCAAGAAAAAGAAAGCAACACAGGAATGATGCCTGGGGAAGTGACATCAAGGGCAGATTTCAGCAAGACACCTACCTGGTCCTTAACACATGGCACTGGGTAAACCTGTCACAATCCCTGCCTGGGTGATGGGGATTAGGTGAGGGCTAGAGGAGTTCCCTGGAGAAGTGGGTAAGAAAGCCACCTTATAATCTGTCTGCTCTTCTCCATACATTTTAGAAGTAGCTTTTTAAGGCCCATAAAAAGCCTGCTCGGACAATCTGTCTGATTTGTAGATCTGATATAATAAGCATTCCGGTAAACCACCTTTAGGATGCAGAACCTGCCAAACCATGATAATATATATACTAGCGCTTTAATGCTTTCAAATAAATCTTTATCATTTCTCCAAAACCCTTAATATCTTTTAGACTTATTCCTAGATAATTCAAACTAAAAAAAATTCACTGTATTTCCCAGTGTGCTAAGAATTTTTCCTTTTACAAATGAATTGGTGAAAACTATCAGATTTTTTTTTGTACTGACTCGGGTAAATAAGACTTTTCTTCTTTAATTTTTAGTAGTCCTATGTTAAACCAATTTTTAATTCTTGGGATAAAACCAATTTAGATAAGATTTTATTTTATATCCATTAGCTGATGGACATAAGGTTTCTTTGGGGATAATAAAGATGCTCTAAAATTCAGTACAGTGATGGTCGCACAAGTCTATAAATATATGAAAACCACCGAATTATATACTTTAAACAAATTAACTTTGTGGTATGTAAATTATCTCAATAAAGCGATACAATAAACTAGGTCTAGACCTGCGGGGACTTTCGGCGTCTCTGGGCCACAACGGAAGCAGAGTTGCCTTGGGCCCCACATCAAATACACTGCGACATTCAATTCCATTAAAACCTCATGTTTTAAGTAAGTCCACAATTTTGCGTTGAGCCGAATTCACAGCCGTCCTGAGCCACATGCAGGCCGTGGGCTGGGTGGCCTTAGTAGAGTTTTTTCCAGGTTAAAAAAAATTAGCTCAGCCCTGGCTAGTGTAGTGCACAGGCTTGCGAATCAGATGATCGCGGTTCAATTACCAGTCAGGGCGCATGCTTGGGTTGCAGGCCAGTTCCCAGCAGGGCGAGAGGCAACCATACATTGATATTTCTCTCCCTCTCTCCTTCCCTTCCCCTCTAAGATAAATAAAATCTTAAAAAAAAAATTTAGCTCAGTTTACTCTTCAAGTTTTAAAAAATTTCCACTTGAATTGGTTTTGATAATTGTATTTTTTTCAGTCATTTGTTTAGTCTAAAATTCTATGTTTTCGTATACTGGCACTAAAAGGTAATGTAAAATAAATACAATAAAGATTAAATTGAAAAGCCAACTAAAATAAAAAATAAAGGTATCAAATTGTGCTTAATACCTAATTAAGCACAATTTCCCCTCTAATTTCTTTCTAATGCCTGCATATTATGTTTCCTGCATGCTGTTACTCCTTATATATGACTTTATGCTTATTTTCTTTATCAATTTCACTAAAGGGGCTTCAAAGAATTGTCTTCTGATTTTGTCCATCCTATAACATTAGCATCTATTTTCTATTTCAGTAATTCCTGCTTCCTTTGGGATTATTTTGCCCTTTTGTTCCTTCCCCGCCAACATAAGCATTTTAGGTTCAAAATAATACTTTAGTTGTACCCTACATGCCCTGGTATTTGCTATTTTCATTATTGTTCAGTTCTGTTTTCAAATTTCCATCACACTTTATTTGGCCCAGTTATTTATATCTTCTTTCCAAACACTTTGTTACTGATTCCTAATTTATTTGCATTTGGTTGGGAGAATGTGATCTGTATTATTAATAGTCGTTTAAAATTTGTTGAACTTGCTCTATGATCCGGGTTCCTTGCTTGAGAAGTGTCTTCTATACACATCAGGTGCAATATTTACTACACTATGACCACTAGATCAAGTTTACTCACAGTGCTGTTCAAATCCTCCATTTCCATTATGATGATTTGGCTTCACAATCTAACAATTATACACTTAAATGCTGTATGATTGCATATTGTCTATTTCTTTTTGTAACTATGTCATTTTCAAATTTGTCCTGTATTTTGGGGCCACTTTCTATGTTTACAGATCATTTCTTTCTGAGGTTTACATAGGCTACACTACACTTTTTAAATTGGCATATCTTTTCCATTCTTTTTACTTCAAACTGTCTCAACTGGAGCATTTAGTCCCTTTTTATATTTACCTAAGTACTGACTGGGTAATTTAGGTAAACATTTGAGTCCAAATCTTTTTGTGCCTTATATTGGTCCCACATGTTGTTTCTTTTTCTTTCTTTTCTTCCTTTGGGTTAATTTTTTCTTCATTATTTTCCCCTTTATGAGTTTGGAGTTATGTATCTTTATCCTTTTGGCGGCTACCTGAGAAATCACATTTGTCCTTAACCTATCAAAATCTAATTCTCATCGGCAATCAACCCCCTCCCTCAACAGTAAAGGACCCAACAACACTTGAATGCCAATGACTCCTCAAAGTTATTTCTTAAAAATGGCAGATATTTCCATTGTGGCTTCCAACAACCCATCTCTGGAAGTAAGTATTCTCAAGTCTGAATAAACATCAAGAGCAAAAAGAGGAGACCAAACCACCATCAAAGAGGAATCATCTTATTGTTTTAATATCAGACTACTACAACAGAAGGTCGGCTAAACTTTATAACCAAACTATTTATCTTATAAATAGCTGAACTGAAATTCCTCACTGTATTTATCCATCTTCTAACTTTTTAAAGGGTTAACTAAAAGAGTGAAGAAAATCATACCACTGGCTAACTTTAACCTCCAGCTCCTGCAATTTGGTCTCCTGTATACCAGAGATCCCCAAACTGCAAGGTTTTGATTGAACAAATACTGTGAGCACTCATTCCGTAACAAATATTATTAGGACTAGGTGTTTATCGTGCAATATCTCATTTAATTCACTCTGCCCAACATCCTTAACACTGCAATGGGAAGTGCAGTGTATTTCCCGTTTTACAAGTTGAGGGAAATTTCTTTTATGTTCAACCTGAGACCATCGATTCCAAAACCAGCGAACTGCGTTACTACAAGCACTGGTTTAGAAGCTTCAAGTTCTAGGCTCAGCTGAGCACTACTTCAAAATGAGGCAGGTGGGAAGGGCTCGGTAAAGTGAAGGGGGATAAGATATCAACCTGGATCCAAGCTCTATGGGAAGGATTAAACCTCATTACGTAAGTGAAGTACTTTGCAAACTCTTCCCTCCTTAACAAGTGCCAACCCAAACTAGCTACCAGGCTACACAGTTTGATTAAAAGTTGGAGACCACCAACAGTTCGGAGGCACCGCACATGGTGATACCAGGATCTCTGATTTCTGAGACTGCCACCTCGCAGGAGGAGCCTTTGCTGTGCTCCAGGCCCCGCGGGGCTCGAGAATGCTCACTTTCCCCACATCCCCCAATGTCAAAGGCTCCTTTAGGTCCCCGGCACGTGTAACTAGCGGCGAGCCTGTAAGGCGCAGATCCATGGAGATCTCCCTCTCCTAAATATCAGCAAAGGAAAGCGGGGTAGGAGAGACTGACTCGAATTCAGGGTTCCACACCATTCTCTAGAGATCCCCATCCCCTAAATTTAAAAAACAAAGTGCTCTCGTCCAACTTTCTATCCTCATCCACGTGGGTTGGTCTCTTTCCCCCAGGTCGGATCGTGCCCGTCTCGGCTCACCAAAGACCTTAGGCTGAATGCGCAGACTGCTGCACCCCCGCCCCAATCACAATAATTGGGACCCTAAGACTTCGGGAGCTGTAACCTCCAGCGGGGCTGTTGGGACCGAGCGGCTGCCGGAGCTCAGACGCCAGGCTGGGAGGCCGAGGCTACGCAGCTACCAAACTTAAGTCTCAGCCCAGCGATCAGACGGAGCAGATTTTAAGCCTCTTCAGGCTAGTGAGTGAACCGAACTCCGAGTCTCCCGCTTCCCGGCCCCTGGGCCAGGCGCAAGCACTCACCATAGCTGCGATTCCGCGGTCTCACCTCCCCTAAGAAGGGCCGAGGACGTCAGAAGAGTAGCGGTCCACACCGCCAGAAAGTCGCACCGAAAGAAGTAGAAATGGCCGCGCCTGCGGCAGGAAGCGGAAGTGAAGTCACAGAGTGGGCGGGTCTCGCCAATTAAAGCGCTTCCGGGAGGGGGCGCGGGGTATAGTTTCAGTGCTGAGCGGGGGAGCTCATTTTGCTGTTTTTATCTTCATTCTACTATACATTATTGGCAGAAACGAGTTGAACGTCTAAAAAAAATACGAAGAGTTTCAGTGGTGTCATTATTCCATTGTCAGAATATGTTTCAGCACATTCTTGTATTCAATATCATCTTTTTGACTCGTCACTGGTGAGGGAAAGGTATGGAGCTAATGATAGGTAGTCCTAAATGTTTTCCTTCATATTCAGAGATCGTTGTTAAAAGCTCTGATGGGGAGTGGAGCCCAACAGAAATGGAATCAATTGAGTAGGGAATTCAGGAAAGAGCAGGTTTGGGGATGGCAGTTGAGTTCCTATCAGGTTGGGTCTGGAGATCTCGTAGGACATCTATTTTCTTCTGGCCAGCATACTGTTCTATTTCACCAACTCCCCATTGTTTAAGGCTAGACTCATGCCTCCCCACTTTCAAGAGGTTCTGTCTGATTCTTACAGCCCTTTTTCATCTCTCTCCAACATAATACCAGGCATATTTTGGGACCCGTTTGGATCTAGCCAGAACTAGACCATTAAAGTCTTAAATACTTTAAGTGAATACTTTAAATACTTCATTAAGTGAAACGTCCTCGTTTCACTTAATTTCTTTGGAAACCTAGAGGTAGAGACCTGGAAAGACCCTTAGGAATTGTGCAGCCCAGCCCCTTCATTTTAAAGATACTGAGGCCCAGAGAGGTGAAGCTGCTTACCCAACATCACAGAGTGAAGAAGTGGCAGAGCCAAAACGGAACCTTGTGCTTTTGGCTATTGGCCTGGGTTATTTCCATTAACTCTGGTTGCTCTGCCTGGGGTGAGTTGTGGCACTGGGCAGCAGGATAGGTTTGAACTGCCTCCAGGACTTTACATTTACTACATCAAAAATATCTCCATCAGACTTCACCTCATGCAAATCAAAAAACAAAGTTTGCCTTCAAATTAAAAAAATGTCTATTGATGTCTCCTATTTAAGAGCAGAACCTGTGATTTTGACTCTGCTCCTCATCTCTCTTAGATCCTCTTTTGTGATGCTATATTCATTGGACTTATTGCCCACCACTTCTAGGGGACTGAAACCTTATTATTCCAACTTAGGACACAAATAGATGTGTCCTGATCATTTGCTTTTTGTTGTCCTTTATAATAATTTCTGATTGTTTTTGGCATGCCTGGCATCTTGGACCATTGTGTCCCAGGTCTCTTCAGTAATAGCTGATAGAGACTTGATGTTTTTATGACCAAGAGAAATCAGACAGTACATTTTACCTAATTAATTATATTTCCCACCTGTATAATTACTTAATTTCCATAGTCTTTCAGAACTAGCCCACCTTTTTGTATCTTGCTGATTCCCTTGCTAGTAATAAACGTTGACATATGATCAACGGGATCAACCTGTTGTAGGAATTTGTCTTTTGCTGCACTTCTGTGCTTAAAACCCTAAATCCTTGCCGTGGCTTATTAGCTCCCTCTTCAGTAGTCCCTGCCTCACTCCATGTTACAGCCCCACCCAGCTTCTTTCTCTACCCTAAGCACATTCCAATCTCTCCAACCCTTTTCATCACCTTCTGTTGAAAGTAAGGTACCCTCTTCCTATTCATCACATCTTCAGTGGAACTTCCCTGATGACCCAGACAAAGTAATTGCCCCTATTAATGGACCCACACACCCCTTGTTCTTGCCCTTTGTAGCACTTGTTAACCTCATCTTTATTCAGTGTCCACCTGTCCAACCACACAGAGTGCTATGAGAGCAGGCTTAATAGCTGCCTTGGACACAGTGGACGTGTCTTCTGGCACAAAGCCAGGCCCAAAGGGAGTCCTTGTTTCACTTGGGGATCTTTGGAAGCACGCAACCAAAAAAGAATTTGGGGAAAGATTCTGTGGTGGAGCCCAGAGGTTTAAGGGGAGCTGATGGTGACAGCAGGACCAGTCCTGCAGTCTCACTTCACTGTCAATATCCTGCAGCCAAAGACCACCAAGAACATACCTACAGTGTCATGATTGGTTGCAAAAAGGGAGAATGCACACCATAAGGAACTGTGGGACTTCTCAATAAGAGGGTGTTGGGAAATATTTGACACAGGGTTTGGGCTTGTGTTAGGTGATTTTAGGGAAGGTTCAAGGAAGTGGTGTTTGCTCTAGATTAGGGACTGTCAGGAAGTGCAAGTGATCCTATGGTTGGACATCATAATAAATCTTATCTACGAGGTGGAAGAGATGAAGTGAATCTAAGGCTGGAATTGGTAAAGAAATAGCAGTCACTCATATTAGTCAGAGTAAGGGGATGTTTGGTTATTTTTATATATTCAACAACATTCAGGTTTTTGTCTGCATTCAGGCATAATTAAAAAGAGGTCTTATTTTTGTCTTCATTTTCACAGTTAGAGAGGCTTCGTCTGATATTGATGTTTCGTGAAATTGTTTATGTGTAGCGGAACACCAGGGCCCAACTACGATTGTCAGGCTAGCTCCTAGCAACGTCAAGGCCTAACTGATAGAGCCGGGCCAGTTCCTAGCTGCCGTGCTCTGCTTTTCGTTTTATCGCCAGCTTCCTATTCCTATTTTGAATCTTTGTTCTTGATATTTAGAGCCAAATGGATTTGGCCAAACTAAGGCCACTCCTCACTTTTTGACTACCTTGGGTCTGTGAGAGAGTGTCAGGTATACGCTGGGGTGACATTCAGCCAAGGTACATTGTGTGGCATATTGGGTTCTTAGAATAGAGAAACCTCCCAAACAGTTGGTAAATAGGTGATGCCCTTCTCCCAGGACCCCAGGGGCCACTTGCCACACAGCTATTAAAGAGTTAAGCTTTGGCTGATTCTGATGAGCTGGTGTCCCTGCCTGCTCTGTTATTCAGTTTTTTAAATATAACCTTTAGTTGAAAGACAGTAACATTTATTCCGGGTAGCATTTGTCCTCCCACCAACACTAACCCTGAGATGGGAAAAGCAATTCTGAGTGGTCAAACAAGAATACACATGTTCAGTATGGTGTCCATTAAGTGTTTGATATTGGATAGACATGGACAAAAGGATAAAAGTAACTAATAGGAAGAAGGAAACAAGTAGGCCACAGGTTACATCACCCATCATCCATGGGGACATTTAGCGTCTTCACTCCAGAGGACAGGCTGTTTAAAACAAATCCTTCTTCCTCTTAGTTGCTTTTGGGCAGTTCCCCAACGTTGCCCTCACCTGCACTGAGCACGGGCACATTAGCCAGCTCTGGTGCCAGGTTTAACAGCTGGAGCTGAGGCTGGAGGATCAGGCTCCTTTGTGAGGTGGCCTCAGTGACAGGTGCTAGGAGGCAGGGGTTACCCCACCCCAAACTGGCTGGGGTACCAGCCATATCAGTCCTGCCCTCCAACTGCCTAATACCATCTGCCTGACCTAAACTTTTTCATGTTGCTGTCACTGCTGGGTGCCTGTATCGTACTGGGGCCATTCCAGGGCTCTGAGTGGGAGCCAGTGTTGAGCCTGCTCTCCAAGGATCACAGCTGCAGGAGCCCTCGGTGCTGTGGCAACCTGCTTGTCCTCTGCCTCTTTCTGATCTGGCAGGTCCGGCACTATTGGCACCAGATCACCAGGACCTCCCCCAGCATGAAGAGGGTCATCAAGGTGAGGGGCCCCACACACCTCCTTCCCTCAGCACCATGATTGTTTTAGTCACTTGTATGAAGATCCTGTTCTATGGCCTCTGTACAGAGATGATCAATCCTGGGGAACTCAGACTGGTTAGGGAGAACATCATCTTGCCCCAAACCCAGCAGTCGCCCTGGACTCCTCTTTTCCTCACTCCACGCATTCAATCCATCTATGAGTCCTTTGGGCTCTACCTGCAGACTGTATCTCAAATGTGATCACTTCTCAGAACCACCTGGGCAGAGTTCCCTTGTGTCTCACCTGGACCGTAGGCACTGCCTTCTGCCTGGTTCCTACCACCTCTCTTGCCCAGCCACAATGCTCCATGCAGCCAACAAAATGACTTCTTTCCTTCCTTCCTCTCTTAAAAAAAAATTAATCCAAGGGTAATATACACACAGATTATAAGTGTATAAATCAATGAATTTTCCCAAACAATGCATCCATGTGCAGCACCCAGTTAAGAAATGGACCATTACCAGCAGCTGAGGAGCTTGCAGTCACAAGTATGCTGATTTCTAATAACACAGACTGATTTTTGTCTGTATGGAATCATATAGTAAGCTTTCTTTTGCACCCGGCTTACACCTAACATTATGCTTGTAAGCCAGAACAAACTTTTAAAGGCAGATCATTGCACTTTGCCATTCAAAACCCAGTAATGGCTCTTAAGAATACACTCCCCATCAAACTCAGAATAAAATCCAAGCTCCTAACTTCAACTCCAACTCCAAGGAAAGCATGATCTGCTCCTACATTTCTCTCTGACCTCATCTTCCAGCATTCTCATCACTCATTCCATTCTGACCACATGGGCTTCCTTGCTCTTCTTGTGTACATGACCTTGTTCTGTCTTCAGGGCCTTTGCACTAATACCTGCTTTTTCTTCAGGTGTCGCTTGGTTTGCCTCACTTCCCTTAGGTCTCTTGTCATATGTCACCATCTCTGAGAGGCCTTCTCTGACCACCTGTCTGATGGAGCTATCCCCATTCCCTTTCTGCTTTTACTTGCATCAGAATTAGCATACCTCTAACATTATATTGTATACTTGACTATTGTCTCTCCATATCTAGAAGGGATTTGCTTTGTTCATGGTGGTACCTCCACCATTTAGAGTAACACCTGCCCTGAAGTAAATGTTTTCTCTTTCTGAGTGAATGACTACTGTTTGCTTTAAGGAAATTATTCCCCATTTCCTGAGCCCCAGAATCCTCTTCTGAATAATGGCATTACAATTCTGATCTGTGATGATTAGGTGAGATGATGTGTGCAAGAATTTTGCCTCTCTGTTCTCACCTGTAGGTGCCACCGCAGAAGTGGGCAGTGCCCTTCATGAGACCTGACACTTGTTTGGAGCGGACCTCTAAACCATTCTACAGTTTTGGCAAGTACAGGGGCCTGGATGCTCACTTTCGGCAATGGGCACAAAAGAAGAGATGGGGATACTGGAGGAGCCTCCGGGAATCAAGGGTCCGATACCTGCTCTCTTGGCAGCGATGCCAGTGCCCGCCTTGGGATTTCCACACCCCTACTAAGACCACCTTTTGCACCACCCCTTTTTCAAGCACCTGTATGCTCCCTCAGCACAGTTCCAGAGTATGGCATGTACCTTGGTGTCTTCGTGATGAGCACACTCAACTGATTGGCAAGTCGCTGCAGCCTGACCTGGACAGGTATTATCAAAGGATGGAGCAACCGCTGGCCCACTCCCAAGAAAAATTAGTGCCACTGGAGTCTGCTGTCAGCATGCACTCCCATTCCACCTCCATGACTTCAGCTGCTGTTCTCCCAAACCTCCCTTCTCAGAGGCCACAGTTCTGCTCCAGAGAATTCCTGCCTCTTCCTTCTAACCAAGAAGTGGGAATACGCACCTGGAACTGCCCACAAGAGGCTTGGGCACCAGGGATGGAAAACCAGATACTAGGCAGAGAGACCCAGGCTCTGGAATGGGGGAACCAGAGAGAGAGCAGCATGGAGCATACTTGGGAGATTGAGGCATCTGGAAGGCAACCCCCAGGAAACTTGGGGATGGAGGACAATGTAGAGACTAAGGGCCTAGAGTGGAAAAGTCAGAGACCAGCAATAAGTAAAAGTGATGGAGAGATCCTGACACCAGGGTGGGAGAACCCAGACCACATGGGAGCTGAGCGTACAGTCAAAATTCAGAAACTAGGCCAGAGAAACCAGAGGAAGGCTAGAGGTGAGAATTCTCCTGAAACCCAGGCGCATATAGTAGATAACCAGGAACTGTTAAGATGTAAAGTTGACACAGAGAACCAAACTTCAGAGTGGGGGAACCAGGATAAGAGTAGAAATGAGGATGCAATAGAAACTCAGGTATTTGAGAAGAACAAGAAAGAGGCCGGCGGGGAGGAAGAAGGACAGACCCAGGCACAAGGGTTGGGGAAGCAGGGCCTGACTGGCAGTGATAATGGTGAGGAGTACCACGTGCTATGGGGGAGAAAACAAGACCAGCCTAGAGATGATACTGGTGCAGAAGTTCAGGCAGAAGAGAGAGGAAACAAGGGCCAGGTTGGAGGTGAGAATGTTGGGCAAAGCCAAATACCTGGGATGGAGAACCTGGGAGAAGTAAAACAAGATGATGGTTTAGAGATCCAGGCTCTGGGATGGGGACAACAGGACTATATTGGAAGTGAGAATGTCAGAGAGATCCAGACACCAGGGTGGGAGAAGCAGGATCGGGGTAGAAGTAAGAAAGCTGCGGGAGAACTCCAGAAACAACCAAGACATGAATTTCGAGTGGGGTGGGGAAGCCAGGGCCTGAGAGGAGGCAAGGATGCTGGAGAAACCCAGATCTGTAGAGGGGAGAACCTCAGGGAGATAAGAAAGGAGGATTGGGTAGTGATCCAGACACTGTGGTGGGAAGACCAGAGACCAGTGGCAATTGAAGTTGACAGAGAACTTGAGAGTGCATGTTGGGGGAACTGGGTCCAGAATGGAGGTGATTGTAGAGCAGAAATTCAGGCACCAGAGAAAAGAGACCAAAGGAAGGACAGAGATGAGGATGGTATAAATACCCTGGCATCTGAGATAGAAAACCAGGGACAATTAAGAGGTGACACTCATGTAGACACCCATCCACCAGCCAGGAGGAACCAGGAGCAGTTTGGAGATGAGACTAGTACAGACATGCAGGTGCCAGAGATGGAAAATCTGAGAGCGGTTGAAGGTGAAGATGATAAAGAGGCCCTGGAACTTGGGGCAGAAAACCAGGGTCAGATGAGCAATGAAATCAATGGAAAGATCCACACATCAAAGTGGAAAAATCAGGGACACATTAGAAGCAAGGATGATGTAAATACCCAGGTATCTGATGCAGAGGACCGGGGAGAATTAACAAGTGAAACTGATGGAGAAACTCATTCAGTGGAGTGGAAGAAAGAGGAGTGGGCTGGAGGTGAGAATGGAAGGGAAAATCAAGCTCCAGAGAAAAGAAACCATAGAGAAGCTGAAGATGAAGGTGGTACAGAGACCGGGGCACCTGGGGAAGAAAACTGGAGTCAGTTAAGAGGTGATATTGATAGAAAGACCCATTTATTAGAGTGGAAGAACCAGGAGCAGATGGGAGGTGAAAATGGAACAGAAATCCAGGCTCCAGAGAAGAGAAACCAGAGAGAACTGAGAGGTGAGGATGGTGTAGGGACCCTTAGACCTGAGAGAGAGAACCTGGGACACTTAGACTGTGAAAATGGAGAGAGCCATTCGCCAGGGAGGAGGAACTGGGAGCAGAATGGAGGAAAGAATGATGCAGAAGACATGGGAAGTGAGGATGGTAGAAAGATCCAGAGACTTAGTGGAGCAAATCAGAAACTGTTAAAAAGAAAAGTTAATGGAAAAACCTGTACATCAGCGTGGAAGAACCAGGAGCAGATTGGAGGGGAGAATGGGGCAGAAATTCAAATACAAGGGGAGAGAAACCTAAGAGGGCTCACAGGTGAGGATGGTAGAGAGATCCAGGCTCCTGGGGGAGATAACCAAGAACAGTTAAGAAGTCAAACTGATGGAGAGATCCAGATACAAGGTCAAGAGAACCAGAAAAAGGGTAGAGAGGATGATGCGGCAGTAATCCAGAATGTAGAGAACCAGACAAAGTGCATAGCTGAGGATGCTGAAGAACCTGAAGTTCCAGGGGGACGAAGCAAGGACCAGGTCAGAGAAAGGGATGCAGCTAAAGGCAATCTCCAAGTTGACTGTTCTGGGGTTGAGGGGCTCCCAGTCCTCACTGGGTCTGGGGCCATGAATCAGGAACAAGCAGTGTCCTCTGCCACCTGTCCTGAGATGAAGCCTCTCCCCAAGCAGGGTGAGCTCCTTTTGCTCCCCAGTGGGGAGGGAAAGCATCTGGCCAGCCAGAGCTTGGCCCCTGCCAGGAGGCCCAGAGTGGGGATCAGTCCAGACTCCACTCGGGCCCCACTTAAACCCGAGAGAAGACAACAGAGGAATCCTGGGAAGGCGTCTGGTCTGGCTTGGCAGTTCCAGAAACCACGCTCTCTGGCTGCTTCCCTGAACCTGCCCTCCTCCTGTCTCTCTGACTCGTGTGGCCAAGCACCCAAAGCTGCCACAGCTCTAGTGGGTATTCCTAGTGCCCACCCTGTCCTTTCCAAGTGCCTGGGCCTCAAGAAGAGCCAACAGTTCCTCCTGGAGTCCCTCATGCGGCGGAAGATTGCACATCTGAAGTGGGACCTCCGCCAGAAGCTGGTCCTGGAGTTCCATTTGCTGTTTAACTTGTTAGATCCGGGACCACTGCCCTCTTCTGGGGTGCAGCTTCCTGGGTTATACATAGCCTGTGAGCTCCAACAGCAGCAGGAAAGGCTTCGTGAGGCTCAGGCCTCCAGGCCAGGCTTTAAGTCCCCTGAGAAGTCCCAGAGGATTCAACCCTCAAAAAGAAAAAGCTCAAAACTTTGTACACAGGCCAGAGCTCTGGAAAAGTGTGGTCTACAGGGATCGGAGCCCATGGGCCTTTCCATCCATCTGCCAAATTTTCGGAGAGTCAGGGCACCTGGCGGCCCCAGAGAAAGATGGGATGTCCAGAAAGAGGCTCCTCCTAGGGCCAAGCTCCCTGCTCCCAGGAACCCTCGGTCTGCAGCAGAGCCTGGATGTGGTCAAAAAATGGTCCGAGAGTCTTCCAGTGGGAACACCCGGGACAGGAAAATGGTCAGGCCAGGAGTCTCACAGACCACAGAGAAGGCTCCCAGCAGGGTGAGAACATTGTACTCCAGGGCAGGCCAGGACCACGGCAGGGAGAGCTCGTCCCTGGAGGCCTCAAAGCTGCCCAGACTTAAATATCAGCAGACCACACGCTGGAGAAGAAAAAGCCTGGAGGGCAGAGGGGCCGAGCAGCAGTCTTCCTCCTGCTCCACAGACACATCTGGCTTCAAAGGGAGTCTCCACTCTGCCACTGCGAGCCTGACCACGACCCTTCTGACCCAAACATCCAGGTCCCCACCCCTGGCCAAGCCCCAGCGCTCAGCCCCCAACCCGAACCTGAGGGTTTCTGATCCCCCACTGCTCCCCAAAGTGGGTGACCCATGTGTAAGGGAAGACAGCATTAGAGTCCACACTTCGAAGAGGGACCTTCAGCCACCAGGACACTGCTGTGCTGGTGCTGTTCTTCCCAAGACAGAGCGCGTCCAGGTTCAAGGGGAACCTGAAAACCCAAATGGCACCCCACAGAATCCACCGGTCTCCAAAAAAAATGGTTTTATAAAACACTTGAGGAGTTTTCCGCTCCGGCTTTGCTTTAGAAAATAGGCTGCAGACACAGAGTCCTCAGAACACATCAGAGGAGGCATGAGAGTGGTCTGTTCACCCCCAAAGGCTCTAATAAAATTGGTTATTTGGAACCTCTGGGGTTCTGATTTCTCTGGCACGTGTTTTCTAAGTGCCCCCTTTTGGGGTTTGCGATACTTTGTGGGTGCGATAGCAGCCATTTTCACTCTATGAGTTTGAAGGTTTGGGGAATGTGGGTCAGCCCATGTCATCTCCTAACAGTTCCCCCGCCACTACCCCCAAATCCTCACGGGAGGGTTTACTGAGGTTCCTGTCATGGTTCTGTCCTGCCCTAGCCCAAGCTGATTGTGACTGAGATAAAATGCTCAGACAGCCTCAGCTGCTTGGTGGAAGGGTTAGTGCTCTGCCCTGGAAACCACCATTCACGTCCTTTGGGGCACAGGGAAGGAAGGAAGATGATCACTGGGCATCTGCCCTGCTGGGATTCTGCTGCCCATGGACAGACTCCATGCAAAAGCCACCCTGGCTCTCCAATCCTCAAGTACTGCCAACCATAATTACTTGCTGCTCTGCCTGGTCCACCTGCAGGACATCCTGGAGCTAATAATTTGTTTTAGTCAAGAGTAAAACTTCTGAGTTAAAAGGTATTATAGCTTATGATACCTCTGTAGACAGCTTCAGCAGGTGGAAACAGATTCACAGAGCCTAACTCAGTGAGTGCTGGACTTGAAAATTTAATTCAGGTTTTCTCCTTCTCTTTCTTTTACCCCACCTCCCTTCTTTCCCTTCTCCCTTTTTGTTTTTTCTCGCGTTTAGCTTCCTGATTTTTTGAATTCACTGTCAAACTTATACATGCTTATTAGAATTTAGAAAATTCAGAAAAGGAAACATAATCCATAATGATATGACCCAGTTAATGTTGGATGTTCTTTTTGTGCATTGCTGCAGGCAAGGTGTTCCCATAGCAACTTGTGCCTGTCTCTCCTGTAGCATCTGTACTATGGTAGGCAGCCTCTACCTCCCGGTGTCCATGCCCTCATGTGTTCTCTCTTTGAGTGTGGACTGGATCTCGTGACTCACCCCTAACAATACAGCAGAAATGTTGGAATGTCACTTCTGAGAATAGGTTACAAAGACTTCCATCTTGGGTACATGTCTCGCTCTCTTGCTTGCTCCCCGAGGGAAGCCATCTTCCATGCTGTGAGCTGCCCCATGGAAAGGCACTGTAGCAAGAAACTGAGGAGGGCACTGGACAACAGCTATCACGAAAGTAAGTCCCTGACTCCAACCGCCTTTGAGGAACTAGATTCTGCCACCGATTATGTGAGTGAACTTGGAAGCAGATCTTTCAGGCCTAGTGAGTCTTGAGATGACTACAGACACATGAGAGATGTTGAGCCAGGGGTTCCTGATGCATAAAAACTATGAGATGTTTTGAGCTAAGTTTTGGGGAATGTTAGTTTTCTAGGGCTACCAAAACAAATTACTGCAAACTTGGTGGTTTAAAACAATTTAAATTTATTCTCTCAGTTCTGGAGGCCAGAAGTCCGAAACCAAGCTGGGTTGGTCAGCAGGGCTGAAGTCTGTAGGGAGTGATCTGTTCCTTGTCTCTCAGTTTCTGGTGGCTGCAGGTGTTCATTGGCTTGTGGGACCATCACTTCAATCTCTGCTTCTGTGCTCACTTTGCTGCCTCCTTTACTCCATGTGTTTCTTCTTAAGACACTTGTCGTTGTTGGGTTTAATGTCCACCAAATACTCCAGGATGACCTCCTCATCTCAAGGTCAACTTAATTGGCAAAGATCCTTTTTCCAAATCAGGTAACATTTACAGGTTCTGGGGAGTAGGCTGTTGTATTAGTCTGCTCTGGTTGCTACAGACTAGGAGACTTAAAGAACAGAAATTTATTTTCTCACAGGTATGGAGACTAGAAGTCCAAGATCAAGCTTCTGGCTGATTCAGTTTCTTGTGAGAGCTTCCCGCCTGGCTCGTAGATAGATGGTCACCTTCTCACTATGTTCTCACATGTTCTCACGTGCACTTTCCTCAGTGCATGTACATGGAGAGGTGGAGAGATCTTTCTTCCTCTTCTTATGGGGCCACCAATCCTATTGGATTAGGGCCCCACCCTTATTATTTTTTTTAACTCTAATTATCTCCTAAAGGCCTTATCTCCAAATAGTCACATTACCTGTTAATTCTTCAACGTCTGAGTTTGGGCTGCACAATTAAGTCCATTGTAGATATGCAGATGTCTTTTCGAGGCTCACCATTCAACCCATCGCATGGGGTAATTTGTTATGCAGTAATAGACATGCATATATGCTATTGTAATAATTTGCTTATCTGTTTCCTTGACTGGACTTCTAGTTCCTTGAAGACATGGATTGTCTCTTGTACACTTTTGAATCCTCTAATTCCTACCCCAGTTCCTGCCTTAACATTTTGTGAAAAAAATACACACTTTGTGGACATTTAAAATATGACATAAAAGATGTACATGACATTTTTTCTGAGAAAGCTGTTTACAACCTTTGTACATTGCTGTTGTAAAAATGTATAGGAAAAAATTGGAAAATATTTTTTTAAATTTTCTTCTTTGAATATGTATTACTGCTATGAAATGTGTTGAATGTTTTTTGTTTGCTTATTTATTTTGCACACTTGGATACTATATAATTATGCATTTGTTGTACACTTAACATTTTAATGGGGATTTTTCATATTAATATCTACTTTTTTCAAACATTACTTCATAACACTCCATTGAATAATAAACCATTGTTTCCCAAACTATTTGCTATGGAAAGCATTTTTCCCACTTAGTCACACTGCTCTGAATGTAGAAAACACCTCCTGAATTTGTTTCCTTCAACATTAACCAGTTGCAGGGCATTTTGGTGCTAAATAAATCCCTGTTGATTGACGGATTGTTACAATTAATATATTTAACATAATAAATTTTTCTTCTTCAGTATTCCTGGTGAACTCACAAAGTCTCAAGTGCTGTGGGAGTGCTCTGTGAGAGGACATTGTAAGGGGAACATATTAGATTCTTTGAGAGAAAGGTGTCACGTAAATTTAAAATAGTAATAGCAATAGCGTTTAGATAAAAATCCCTGAAATCGTTCATTTAATTTTCAAATAGATTGCTTCCTTTTCCCAAGCTAATGACAGCTTCTTTACAAATGCTTTTCAACTTTCTATGCGATGCAGATTGCAGACGCTCGGGGAAAACCTTTGGTTGGACACGCACTAGCCGTTTGCGCAGGCGCAGTATACGGCCACGGCCCGTGCGGAGGGGGGGCTCTTTCAAGTGCGCTTGCGCACAAGTTGCGCGGGAAAACGCGCTGTCGCTGTAGCGTGCGAGCAGCCAGATGGCTGTGAGGGAGGCTGCTGCGGACCCTTCCCGGTCCGGGAGGGACGGAGAGGCAGCGTTGCTCTTTGAGAGGGCCCATCCCCGGCACGACCCGTGCTGGCTGCTGCCCGTGTCCCCACGCCTTTGCTTGGCCTGCGTGCTGGAGCTGCTGCCGGAGCCCGGCGTGTCGGTGCGAGCTGGCCCCCCCAGCCCCAGCCCCAGCCCCAGCCCCAGCCCCAGCCCCAGCCCCAGCCCCAGCCCCAGCGTTCCCCTTGCACCCGCATTCTGTTACCAAACAGGGCCGCCCCTGGCAGACCAACTTCCCTGTACCGGCCCCGCCGGCCTGGCTAACCCACCCAGTAAGCAGGCCGGCCCCTGGCCGGCGGCGCGTCCTTTCGCCAGCCCCTGGCCACCCTCCCGCAGCCCTTTGTACACGGGCCCTGCCGCAGGCTCTGAGCCTCGAGCCCGCCTGTCCCCGTGCGCCGTCAGGCTGGAGCCCCAGCGGCGCGGGCGACACCCCCGGGCGCACCCTCCCGCCTCCCCTCCCCCTCCCCTCTCAGCTAGCTGTCCAGGCTGCACGCCGACCTTCTCGCCAGAATTTTGCCTTAGCTCGGCTTCGTTTTAAAAGTCGCCTGCTCACCCTGCGGGCCGGGCGCATGTGCGCTGGGGCGCCTCGTGTCCCTGACGCGTCTGAGAGTGGAAGTGTGGCGGGGAGGGTCGCCGGCTGGAAGCCACAGCCAGGCACCAGTGAGGCGAAGGGGGAAGGCAGCAGGCACAACTTTAAAAATAAAAATATCTATACTTTCCCAAACAAAAGAGAGAGTGAGAGGACTGGCTTTGTTTTACATTTTTGCAGGTCTCTAATGTTTGGTGTAAGAGGAGGCAGCTGGATTTTTATACGTGCATTTAATCTGATATCACATGTCACGTAATACTTGAAAAACTTCACTGTACACTTGTGAGAGAATAAGAGTGAAAAAGGCAAATAGTGCCTTAGTATTCTGTGAAAAGGATTTGGACCGCATGGTTGCCCTGAAAGGGTTCTGAGCATTCTCGGGGCCCCACTGAGAATTGCTGAGCGAGTTGATAACATCTGAGATAGCACCGAGGCCAGGGGTCCTGGGGCTGTCATTCTCTGACAGCGAGTCAGAGGGTGCAGAGGCGGGTAAGACCGAGAGGTAGGGGGCAAAATCAGAGAACGCCTTACTAGGATGGACGTAGCTGGTCAGGTGCTGTGTGGGATAAGGAGGGAAGTTAGGAAGGGTTTTTAGAGGAGGAAGCATTTGAATTAGGCTTGAGAAGATGGGTGAGATTTGGAACAGAAGACATGGGGGATCTTATCTTAGGAGGTGGGTATTAGCAAGGATGAGTTTGGGGAGTAATTAGTGTTTGAAGGAAAGTCGAGATTGGGAAACTAGGTTGAGATCAGTTCAGGTAAGGAGAGTCACTG